GGAAGACGCTAAATGAACCGCTTCACAGACCACTGCACAAACGCTCGATGAAGAACTCGCAGATCCTAGCCGTGTACAAAGCTACCACAAACCATGTGAGCCTGCACTTATGGGATTGACCGCTGGATGCCCGCTACGTTCGTGGGCCGCTTGTCAGCTAAGCTTGTAGACCGCTAAGCTTGTGGACCGCTAGACCGCTTAACTTGTGGACCGCTAAACTTGTGGACCGCTCAACTGCTAAGCTTGTGAACCGCTTGACCGTTGTGCTTGTGAACCGCTTGACCGCTACGCTTGTGAACCGCCTGACCGCTAAGCTTATGAACCGCTTGACCGCTAAGCTCGTGGTGGTTAACTTAGTTAAATTACATTTAACCGAATTTAACCACATAATATCAATCATCAATTATGCTATCAAAACACGACAAGGCAACGAGAAATAATTATTATGTATATTACCTACCCCTTCAACTTCCGTGAATGAGGATCTTAATGCCTCTCTGCGAACACGAAATGGTTCTTTAATATACGACTGAAAAAGACAAAGTGAAGTTGAGTGTCACAAGACGTTTACAATGAAAGCTCTCGTAATCGGACACCCTCGGGACGCAAAAAAGGTGTCCGTAACTGGGACTGGCCGCTTACGGGAATATAAAAACATAGAGTTTGTATGGGAGTTGAGAAAAACGGGGTTTTATGAAGGCGGCCGTAAGTATGATGTCCGCTTCCGAGAGTGTCTGTTAGGAGAGCTTCCGCTGTATTCGAATACAAGCTTAGTTTTCCAGTGTATAGCACAGTCTTGGTATGTTTGCACACATCTAGCAGATCTAGCCTGAGTAAAATCTCCTCTCCCTTAGCCCTTTAGGAAAGCCTGATACTCAGGCCAAAGCAGATCCCACAAGAGAACACCAAAGGAGTGATTTATTTTTTCATGCCGGAAGAATAAATCACAGCCATTTTCATCCGACATTTTAGCACACGAAACTAAGCAGTTGTAAAATTTCGATTGACTTTTGCCAGTTGCAGTCGATTTTTATCTTGGTCAGCTAGTCATAGACAATTTCGGTACTTTTATGAAAACAAAACAAAAAAAATGAAAATTACTTTAGATTTACAATTCAAGAAGAGCGATTGAGAAAGGAGAAATAAGAATGAGAATGCTCTCTTGCATAAAAATATCCTTTCGGCTTTTTAAGTTGAACTATCAAAGAAAATAAACTACGGGAGAACGTAAGTCACGAAGTGCAAACGCCTTTTTCTTACCTTTCCATTCAGATACAGCAAATCGAAAGCGTAGACACAAACTTGAACTTTAATATCTGACGCATCAGCATCCTAAAGAAACATAGAAAAGAAAAAGAGAGCTACATTGTCGCTCCAAACCGCCGAAACCTAGCAGTAGCTTCCACCAGATTCCAAATTAAACAAGAACAGTGTGCAGTGTGCAGTGTGCAGTGTGCAGTGTGCAGATTCATGAAAGTGTTGATTTACACGAATAAGACTGAGTGGTCGCTTACGTGAGCTTACAAACCGAGGGAAAATCCAGTTGCGGAGTCCCGAAAGTGGTCGTGGTTGCTTATGAGAGCATAGTCTGAAATGTCACACGCCTCGACCCCGCGTGAGGGGGTGGCGACGTATGACATTTCAGGCCAATGAGAGCTTTTCATTACAAAGATTGCTAAGCTTGAGGGTCTCCACATTGGACTCGGCTTCAAGCTACAGTTGTAGCTCCAGCCAAGAGATCATAATACAATCTCTTGCTCCAGCTTATTACAGAGAAGTTGGCCCGCTCTACGAGATATACTGCCAAGAAGAAAACTGTAAATAATCAATATATACTGTGGCGTTACCTTTCGTTTTCTTGTGCTGAGAATCTGGAAAGGTAAAATTTGCTTCTTTTCTCTGTCCCATGCCACAGCTTCAGTATCAATAATACAGGACTTGACACCATCACCTAAAACCTGAATGTAAAAACAAACAAAACGTTAAGGTAACACAAAAATGATCAAAAGCGCTTTACATTCTCTTCATGTAATAAACGTAAAAAGGTGTTCTGGACTCGTCGCATCTTACAAATCTGATATTTGGGCAGCCCATAAAGTAAACTGTTTTCAGATATGAATGCTCTAGTATGTGGCAATTTGAAGACTTGTGTTTACCTAAACACACTAACTTTTGTCAACATGTATCAAAGGAATTGAGCTCCAAAGAGAACTAGTAACTGTACCAGCTTCTAGTAAATCGCCATCTGGGTGTGCTTCGACTCGTACACAGGCATTGTGGGAAATAAGTCTAAGAAAGGATTGTGCCTTACAGAAGAAGACCGCTTGGCTTAACGTTGTCACTGTTTTCAGTTGTCCCCACTCCAGAAACTCTTAGGACTGAGAATGGATGGGTACATGCTTTCAGCGCAACGATTTTTTGGGATAGTTTGGGTGGCCAAACGTTACTTATGATTGGTTAATGGTTGCCTTGGATACCATCGACCAATCATAACTAAAGCTTGTCCACCCAAACGATCCCAGAAATCCTTGCACCGAAAAAGCTTGTACCCATTCCCTTTTTACTTTCCCGACAACTTTGACCGCCAGGAGTCTGGCCGCTTCATAGAGGTTCGTCTATGTATTACACGTATTCACCTTGGGCATTCTAGCAATGATATCAGGATACTTAGACGTGTTGTTTTCTTGGTTTCTGCTGTAAATGTGGGTGTCTCCATTTTCTAGCACATGAATCTAAAAAAAGAAATAACAGATAATTTTGTTTATTCGTTTTGTTTCCCTGTCTTGGGCATGTTTTCCTGGGTTTTCAACAAGTAATCTCTATTTTACATGACTGGTCATACGTAAATTCAATAACGATGATGTTGAGGAGGAGGAGGAGGGGGAGGGGGAGGGCAGATGATGATGATGATGATGACGACGACTACGATGATGGGGAGGGGGAGGGCAGATGATGATGATGATGATGACGACGACTACGATGATGGGGAGGAGGAGTTGGAGGCTATGAAGGGTTATAATGATGATAACGGATGATGATGAAAAGCATTGTGATCATTCCGAGGATCACTGTCATTGAAAATGCTGAAGCATATCACCCAAGAAAATCCGAATTTCAAACTGGATGATGGTTTACTTTCTCAGAAAGGCACTGAAAATCTCTAGTCTCAAGGCCAAAGAACTTGCAACATAAATTGCCGCATGTTAAACGACAATTGTGAAAAGCAACAAATACCAAGAATAAGAGTAACAAAACCATGTTTAACCTCACCTGTGCGCGCTCTCCATCGTACTTAAACTCACAGGTAAAGGCTGCATTTTCAAATCGTTTGAACACTTCTTCTACCCCTTTGGAAGGATGAGCTAACATGGGTTTTAGCGGGATACCTTTGGAAAATAAAATTAATATAATTCAATTTGCAATGACAAGACAGCTTAAAGTAACAAGAAGATTATCTGGGCTCTGCGTGTACCGCAGTCACAAGGCCAGCATCTATGCTAATTTATTATAGGAACAACACAAAGGAAAGCGTTTACATAAGAAAAGAGTTCAACTTCCACAGGATATTCTTGGTACACCAAAACGGCCGCCATTTTATTTGTTTGGAATATCAATATGGCCGCCGTTTCATTCGTTTGGAACATCAATNTTTGTTCATTCGTTTTGCTCCCCTATCTTGGGCATATTTTACAGGGTTTTCAACCAGTAATCTCTATTTTACATGGCTGGTCATACGTAAATTCAATAACGATGATGTTGAGGAGGAGGAGGAGGAGGAGGAGGAGGAGGGATGATGATGATGGGGAGGAGGAGTTGGAGGCTATGAAGGGTGATAATGATGATAACGTATGATGATGAAAAGCATTGTGATCATTTCGAGGATCACTGTCATTGAAATGCTGAAGTATATCACCCAAGAAAATCCGAATTTCAAACTGGATGAGATCAATGCAAAAATCTGCGTACCACAATTCGTTTACTTTCTCAGAAAGTTACTGGAAATCTCTAGTCTCAAGGCCAAAGAACTTGCAACATAAATTGTCGCAGGTTAAACGACGATTGTGAAAAGCAACAAATACCAATAAGAGTAACAAAACCATGAACTTGGCATGTTTAACCTGACCTGTGCGCGCTCTCCATCGTACTTAAACTCACAGGTAAAGGCTGCATTTTCAAATCGTTTGAACACTTCCTCTACCCCTTTGGAAGGATGAGCTAACATGGGTTTTAGCGGGATACCTTTGGAAAATAAAATTAATATAATTCAATTTGCAATGACAAGACAGCTTAAAGTAACAAGAAGATTATCTGGGCTCTGCGTGTACCGCACTCACAAGGCCAGCATCTATGCTAATTTATTATAGGAACAACACAAAGGAAAGCGTTTACATAAGAAAAGAGTTCAACTTCCACAGGATATTCTTGGTACACCAAAACGGCCGCCATTTTATTTGTTTGGAATATCAATATGGCCGCCGTTTCATTCGTTTGGAACATCAATTTGACCGCCTGACGTCATGTGAAAAAGGCTATATACCTAAATCTTGACACATTTTTTTACCTGGTGTCAGATGACAGTGTTTTGGCAGCGACTCCAATCCATGATCCATAAGAGATGGAATCAGTCTATCATAGTTAGGCATTTCACTATGAAGGGAAAATAACAATCCTTAAAAGTGAACCGCACCTTTCAACCCTGTACATAGACTGCACAGTGAGAAAATAAAAAATCGCATGAAGCTACTACCCACCCTTTCACTTCTTATAGAAGCCAAAGAGAAAATTCACAAAGAGAAATTTCTGTTTTGCAAAATCCTAAGAAATAAATAGCACTATGAAACAGTTCTGCCAGGGAGCTTTCATTTGAATGGTAACACCATAGAATTTGGAAAACATATTGAAAAATTAGAATGACAAAATGATATATTATTAATAATCTCGCTGTAACATTATCTAGGAGATAATGGTTTAAAATAGCCAAAGCAAAAGGCAATGGTCCTATTATTGTCTCCTTGATCCTGCTCCACCCTCATTTTCATTGATGGACATTATTTTTATCTCCTGGCGTTTCATGGAAGAGAAGACAAAAAGCGACTGTTTGCATTAGCAATCTAATGCATCTGTATGATTAGAGTCTGAAAACTATTTTTGTAAATTGAGTCAACGAATGTCTAGTATATTATACGGATAATTACGAGCATCAGTCTGGTATACAGTTTTTTTCTATAAACTGTCTGTTATGATTGAACAGGACTTACCAGTAACAGGCCTTGACTATCATGGCAGCCTCATCTAATTTCTTCTTTAACTCATCTCCAGAAAAATGCTTGGCATTGTCAATTATGGAAGGAGGAAACTCTGGAAAAAGGAAACAAGACCCAGGGCTAGCTGTTACTAAGGGAAAGTGGCCAAGATCACAGAGAACAGAATTCACTGGCCTCATTGCAAAATCCACTAGCCACAGGCTACCCAATACAACTTTCTTTGCACATTGATGATCACGAGGTTAATCATGATCATAACGTTTATGATGGGAACAAAAGAAAATCTCATTAATTAATCGGTCGTTGTTACCTTTGCTTGGTGGAGTGAGTAAGACGGCATGGCCCAATGCTGTGAGAACTGACTGTTCAGCAAGACCAATCCGCAACTTGCCACCAAGAGATCTTCAAATTGAAAAAAAAGAATTTGTTAAAGGCATAATAATTTCCAGTGGGCAGCAGAGCATAGGTATTACAGTGGTCAGATTTTTCTGTTTTATTCTCCCTAATAACCAAGTTCAAAGAAATCAATACAGGTAATCACACACTTTTGAGTTCAACTTGGAATTTACCATTTACTTTCATGCTTTTGTATTGTGTTTAGTAAAGACTACATTTCTATCAGCCAACCAGATTCAAGAAATTTTCTCATGTACATTGGCTGCGGCCTCACTTGGCAAGTTAACCAGGTTAGTTTTTGAAAAACCCAGTAAAAAATTCTTCAGAACGTAACCTGGTTAAAAGAGTTTAACCAGGTTAATTTTTATCAGCAGCCGACTTTCACAAATTCATTCAAAGTCGCTCGCCTAAGAGTGACACACAAAATTTGACCCCACATTACAGATAAAAAGAGGTTTTTGAACAACTTAATGTTAATTAGTTAATTGGAAATAACTCAGTTAAGTCCCCAAGAGCAACCACAGCCACTATTGTCTTAGAAGTAACCAATTACCAACTTTTAATGCCACAGTCTCATGACTGTGTGATGCATAACTAACCTTTGAGTTGGCAGACATGATTACAGGTCAAGACACAATGGAAGCACTTCAGCAGCATTTCCAATACATGGTACATTTCTCAGTATTCTCAAAATATAATAATATTTGGATGATCTTCTATAGCTTGTAACACAGACCTCCATCTCCTCAAAAATATCTTGCAAAGCCTTGTAGTTAAAGTTTTTACCTTATCAAATATCTGGCCTCTGCATCACGACAAGCCACAAACATTCCTTTTATCTTTTCCGTCTTTCTTGTCATTGACTGTAAAAAAAGGAATTAGAAGAAAAAAGAAGATCAGGATAAAGTTGAAAAAGATCCTGAGACCCACCTAAATGTTAATCTTCTTTGATCTTTTCTGTCTTTCAAAATAAGCTGTTCAAGCCAAAGCATTACAAAAAGCAGTTTAAAACTGTCATAAAAATTCTGTTGTCATTAAATTCACTTGCAGTCCCTACAGAGAAGTTTGTTATTGCTGGTCTTGGGGGTGCCCAGCTGGTTTCCCTGTGATTTTAAGCATGCGCAGAAGGTGGCCTTAAAATGAACATGCACAAGGCCACCCTGTTAAAGTGTCAAGTTTTTCTTTATCTGTTTTGCTAAGGTTTTTCTTAGAGTTTATCCTTTTCATTAGCTGGAAATCTATGTTCTACATGTGAATGTAACATTCTACAGCACTTGTGAGTCTTTTCAGAACCCCTTTAATATGAAGGATTTGTTGTTAAAGTTGCTGTTTTTATCTGGTACATCGTGGTGTGCTGCTATTTGCCAAAAGCAAAACTTTATGAATGTTTTTACAAATCTATAGGGTACATGCCACACTTACACTATGTCCAGTCATCATTGCTATGTCCTTTAGTTTTGTAAATACACCCTCAGCAGTGAGCTTGGGTGGGGCAAACATAGTTCGCTGCTTTCCACGGCATGACTAACATGAAATAAGTTTAAACAGAAATTGTCACAATAAGCCTAAGTAAATGAAAAGCATAGTGAACTAATGTATTATAAAACAACAATGAAATATACCAAGACCAGCATTTTATTATACTGTACCTCAGCCACTATCCCTAAATCTCCCTTCTCACCAACATCAGACTTAATTTGCTGTAGACTCCTCCCTAGGATGTGATGACAAAAAATTGGATGAGCATGGCAACAGTCGACTCAGGAGACCCTCTCCCTCCAGCAGTGTGTGACAGACCAAATTTTATGGTGTGACTGTTGTGGCTCAAATTTGTCTTTCATTTGTTTCCAATCATGGCAATTGCACTGAGACAAGGAAATAAAATTATTAAACTATAACAGGCTAGTAATCGCTCAGGAGCACAGGTGAAGGGGTAGGAAAGGAGAATTCTCACCCTCCCCCACTTCCCATCCAACCAAGAGCATGCAGGCAGGCAAATCAATTGCAGTGAAAAGTATATCAACCACTTATTGTGCATAATGGTGTTATTTGTTTTTAAATAATTTAATAGTTTTCTTTCTTAGGTTTGGGCCAAATCTGGAAGTAACTCAATTTTTCAAGGGGTTTCAGCAGACACTCCCCCTGAAATGGATATCGAATATTGTAGAATGATCCACCATGTGCCCATCTCAGGGAGATTTCAGCAATGTAGAAAGCATGGAAATAAATAAAAGAAATAAGATGTTACTTGTTGTACAAGAGGAGAATTGTGGATGGGTGAATCAAGATCAAAAATTATGGCAAAGGAATATCATACAGGATGAGAGGGGATGTATGGTATGATGAGGGTGCATCATGGGTGAATCAAGATCAAAAATTATGGCAACGGAATATCAAACAGGATGAGAGGGGATATATGGTATGATGAGGGTGCATCATACATGTCATAACCTAATAACTACAACTATAGAGAGGAGAAGTCGTTATGCCACGTTGCCATGGTAACAAAATGTTTGGATGACAACAAACCGATAAAGTCACTCAAAAAGTGAATTCGCACTATTTCAAATTTTACTGATCTTATTCAATTTCATTTAATCTGGCAAGTCTTGGTGAACTTTTCTTTGGGACCGCATCTATTGTTATCTAAGTTTAAAAAAAGAAAGTGACAATTTTTGTGTTGTGTTCACCTACTCCATAAAGCGGGCTCGTGAAACTAGGAAGTTTCATGTCGAAGTGGTGCAACAACGGCAAAGAAATGTACAAAATAGCGTAATGCAAGTGCATAGTTGTTGTTCATGTTAATATAAACATATTATTTTTTGCCATTCTCCTTGCCATCGCTGTCATGGTTGGTTTTGTTGTCATCCAGAAATAGTGCTACCATGGTAATGTGACATCACACTTCTCCTCTCTATTAAGCAGCCACCCCATTATAAAGTGGTTAATAATCAAAGTCCTGAAACAATTGAAGACGAGAGTCCTAAAATAAACCTCATTTAAGCCGCCATCAAGTGCTTGATACACTTAGTTTGATCTTATTTTAAAAGTGTGATAAAGAAAAATACAATCTGTGATAGAAGGCGACAAATGATCATGGATCACGTGTTTGTTTCGAAATAAAATGACGTTTCTGCTAAAGATCATGCTTATTTCTGACAAGCCTCTGATCTATTGAGTAAGCCAACATCCATTAAGTGGTCACTGTACTACACAACACACACTCAACAGTAACAGTCACCTGTTGACTCTGAAACTGCTTTCATTAGCACATTGTCTCCGATACCAAGTTCAATTCCTTCGTAAGCAGGAGCCAGCTAAAATGAAGAGAATAACAACCACTTAATTAACATGAAATAAACAAGAGATCTGCTCAAAACCATACACAAAAACAAAGAAATACACATGAAAGGGTTAACAACTGACCTTGTTGAGACAGAGATAAACACATGGTAGCAAATCATTTGGTGACAAAACAATGACCGAACGGAAAAAGTTGCTAAGGATGGAGGTAATCTTCAACCTGTAAGTAATAGAACATCATTTTTTTTTCATGCAGATTTTTCCAGACACCTGTTTTGTAAAGCCAAAGATGCTGATTAATTCATAAGAATTCCAATGTGATTGCAAACTACAATAAATATGATTTACATAAATATGCCCATTATTTTTTGCCAAATTCTTTCAAGTTCAGGGTGATTTTGTCAGATTTTATATATTGTACCATCATTTCAAGCTCTATATTGTATCAGACTTCAAGAATCTATGTCTTGATAGCTAGGCTCCAAAGACAAACCCCAACCAACCAACCTTGTTTAACATGGCAGGTACAAAAATTATGCAGGTCACAGGTCACAGGTCAGAAGTGCAGGTTAGAGTACAGGTCACTGTGCTATGGTGAACAAACAACACTAAAAGTGTCTCCTAGCACTAATCACAAACCAAAAAAGAAATTTTAGCTTTAGAGGAAACTGCCTATCTTTGTTATTTATCAATAGAGCAGTGACCTGCAATATTGTGATCTGTGACCTGTGTTTTGTAACTGCCACCCATAACTGCAAAGCCATAGTCTCCAGTTTGCTCCCTATCCCACCTAACTACCAGTGCTTGACTATTTGTTTATTTTCTAGTAAAAGAATAAAATAGATAACTCGTCATCTAAGGTCCTACATGTAAATTAGGAAAGGTGCTTTAATTCAAAACATGTAGTGACAACTTCCATGGTGGGAACCAGCTTACCTTGCAGATGTGTCTTCTATTGCCTGGAATGTTTTGGCCACTGCTAGGTAGGGTACCCTGAAAGTTAATCACAATGGGGATGTTTTTAGTGGAGCTCTTCTGCACATGAAATGCACACAGCGGAGGGTATGAAAATTTGGTTCTCCGTGCAATCAAGAAATTTTGGTTGTGACAAAAATTTCCATGATACAATTCCCCGAGTAAATAAAATTCCAATAAT